TGATCAGGGGGCTGCTCTACACTGGTGAGGGTCTGCTCACACAGCATACCCTGGATCCGCAGTACTGCTGCTAGGGGCTGATCAAGATCTCAGCCCCCCTCTCTCCTCCACCTGGCTTGCTGCAGTGAAGGCCAAGACCCTCCTGGACTTGGTATACCTTGTGCCCTTGGAGACACCAAGGGCCAGGTATCATCCCCCTCGCTTCCCTCTCCCTACGAACCCACTTTCTCTACCTTTTCTCTCTCCTCTTACTCACCCCCTCTACTTATTGCTCTTCTGCCTCACTCACTTCCTTCTAATCACCCTCACCACTCATACCCCTCCCCCCACCCCACCTTTTCTCCCACCACCCACTATTTTACTCTACTCATTTCTTTTCTTTTCTTTCTCCTCCTTTTTCTTTGCTTCTTGATCCCTCCCCACCTTTCCCATCCCTTTCTCTCCCATTCTCTCACCCCCATCTCCCCCTTCACTCTTTTTCTCTCTTTCACCTATCTCTCCCCTTTCTCCTTCACTTTTTTTCATTCCCCTTCCCCCCAACTTCGAAATTTTTTGTTTTTTCTTCTTTTTATCTTTCTTTTGCTTTATATTGCAATGAACCCAGATCGTGAAGACAGTCGTCAACAATGCAAGCCCAAATGAATGTCAACCAGCTTATGATTACCAATAGTCAAAATCGTGCCCAGACAAAATGAGATGAGATAATCATACACAGACGAAGAGAGAGGAGGGAGATTAGACAAAGGAGAGGAAATATGCTCACTCCTGCTTCGGGCTCCCTCCTCAATCACCACCTCAATAATAAATAGTCTGGACGAGTATCTGAAGTAATCTCAATGTGCCACGTGGCACGTCTAATTAGACCCTCATTAGTGCTGGAGCAATGTCGACATGAAGACCATCAGGTATGTATCCACGATCTCTTCACGTCCCGATCTCCTCCCAAATGACGATAATCAGAACAACAATACAAGTCATGTAGCTTCGCTTCGTCAGAACACGTGGCAACAGTCACGTCAGCCAATGATACACGTGGCAGCAGCCACATCAGCGACAGCGCATGGCAACTGCCACGTCAGCATGCCAAGAAGACAGGTGCAAGCCAACCACCATGCCGGACCAGCAGCGCCTTGCCGAATCACAATGCCAGCGTCGCAGCGTCGAGCCAGCGTTGAAGTCAACGTGTGAAGTCAGCATCAACGCAAGACAGAATGAATGTCAAAGTCAGGGAGGTCAACGCTTAAGTAGCGTTGACTCGGGGTCTGGACCCCGGATGCTGCAACCTTTAGCCGTCCAGATCTTGATGCAAACGAAGGTCCGGATTGGCCTGAAACTGAATTCCCTTCGGCCTGGATGCTTGTTTGGGTACCTGCGCACAAGTCAGTGTATCCAACCAAGGGCCTGGGCGCGGTACCTTTGACTTTACAGTTGACTTTGACTCTTGACTTTCCTGGGTGCAGCGTTTGGTCAGACAACCAAACGCGACAGACTCAAGCCTGGGCGTGTCCTGGTCACACAGCCCAGCGCAGACCAACTTTGGTCTGCGTTGCTTGGGGCTGAGTTCTGGGCCCCAGACTACTTCTGGACAGGATCACTGCAATATTTCCTCCTTTTTCCAAAAATTCGAATTATCTCATTCCCCGCCTTCTTTTCTCATTTTCTGATTTATTTTATTTTCTTTTTTTATTTATTCTGAAAATTCGAATTTCTTTGCGGCACCCTCAAATCTGATTAGGAGTTAGTCATTCTTGCTTTCAGCACACATTTCGACCCCGTGGGGGTAACGAAGTGCTGCCAAAACTTTTTGTTTTTTCTTTCACTTAGTCTTTTTCAACACATTTTGACCCCTTGGGGGTAGCGAAGTGCTGGCAAAATCTTCTCATTTTACTTAGCCTTTTTTCTTAATGGCACACTTCGACCTCATGGGGGTAACGAAATGCTGCCGAAATTTTTGAAAAATCAGACATTTCATTTATCTCCACCTCCTCATTTACTTATTTATTTCTTTATTTATCTTTTTCTTATTTCTTTATTTACTTTCTAAAATTTTTAATTTTCGGCATTTTAAAACTTAGTGTGCTTATCTTGGTCTCCCCTTTCCCTTGGCACATTCTTGACCCCATGGGAGGTAGGGAAATGTTGTCGAAATTTCTAAAAAAATAAATATTATTTCTCTCTTCACATTTTGTTTACTTATTTCTTTACTTATTTTTATTATGGATTTATTTATTGATTTATTTATTTATTTATTTTCACTTTTCTCTCAAAATTTCACTCTGTGTATACACCCGTGCAAATACGGCCCATACAGACGGTCGTACGTCCGTACGTACGGGCCCCCCGGTGCCCGTACGGCCCATACGTACGGACTTATGGCCCTCCACACGTCCTTTCGCGGGGGGTGATGAGGGGGTGGATGGGCTGGGGGGGT